ACATCTTTGTTGGTATGTGGTGCTGAGGATCGAACCCGGGCCGCACGCATGCCAGGCGAGCGCGCTACCGCTTGAGCCACATCCCCAGCCCAAATTCATGTCCTTTTCATTCTGTTATAGACACACCTTTCTTTTCTTTTTTTTTTTTTTTAAAGAGATGAGGTCTTGTGATGTTGCCCAGTTTGGTCCCAAATTCTGGGTTCAAGCAATTCTCCTCTCTCAACCTCCTGAGTAGCTGGTGCATGCCACCATGCCCAGCTTATACTGTCTTTAATTAGAAGTCAGTCTAGTTTCCTAGGACCTGCTCACCCTGCAGGTGAGTGATTAAATCAAGTCTGAGAACATACAAATCTAGGTAACACTGCCCAAGTGTCTAAAATAGCTTTTCAACTTCATCCACCCCCTATCACCAAATGCAGCAGACAGGTCTACAATCACCATTACTCCTGTCAGAAAACGTCCTCTTTTCATCTGCCAGAAAGCTGAGCGGACAAACCACCCCATCTCTTCAGGGCTAACACACTGTGCTCAGTCTCACCACAAGCTTTTAGGTGAAGAGTTGATATTTGCTGTTTACCCACTCTATGCCTAGTCCTGAGGGAGAGACTTTATACTCATATAAGGAGACAGGCTTTGACAATTTAAGTAACTTGCCCAAGAAGAGGCACAGTAAGTGACCAAATTTAGGTCTGATTCCAAAATCTGCGTTCATTCTACCACCCCAACCACATCTTTGGCTTTCACCTTTCTCCCAAGATAAGGATTCCTCTGGCATGAGTTCTTTCTCTCCTGAATCCATCCCAAACTCACTTCTCTGCCACTGTCTCCAAACACAATCACTTACCTAGTCTAATGCCTCCAACCTCAGCCAATAATAATGTGAAATGGTTTTGCAGTTCAGAAAGCACTTTCAGAACAGGGCTTCATCTGCCCCCTTCTCCGGATTGGAAGTAAAATCACCCGTTTTAAGACAAAAAGATATCTCCAAGGTCACAGAATAAAAACCAGGGGAAATCGTGACCAGAGTCCCAGGTGTTAACCTCCTCACTGGTGCCCAAGGTTCAGCACCAGCACCCGCCCCAACGATGTCACAAGATACCCCCTCTCCGCTGGAAGCTCACCACCCTCCCACGCCTCCCCACCAGCGATGTCCTCACCAGTCGGATCGACCCCTCCCTTCTATTAGATCCCTCCCCTCGCGGAGCTCCTCAACTCAGCAGTCCCCTCTAGTCACAGGCGGTTCCCCACTTGACCTCCCTCAGACCCTCGCCCCGCCTTCCTGCTTCAGCGCACCAGGCCCCTCCTCCTGTCAGCCCTCGGCCGAGACCACCTAGATTACCTTCTCCAAGGATGCTGGTCTCTGCACTGCCAAGGAACGGGCCAGTGACAGGACTGTGTTGAAGTAGAAACCCCGCGAGGCGCTGGAGCCGGAGCTGGAGCCCGAGCCGCTGCCGCTTCCCCGGGCCGCGGCCGCCGCCATCGTCGCGCGCACCGCAGCGCTGGAGCCGGCTACCAGCACCCGGCCAGTGAGCACCCGGGCTCACGGCGCAGGCGCAGCCGCATCCGGCTTCCCCGCCACGTGACTTCTCTGTTGCCGACATTGGGTAGGGCGTGGCCGTGAGGGCGGTCCCATTGCTGCAGGGGGAGAGGCACCGTAAAGTAGCCTCTGCCACGCGTTCTGGACGTGGCGTACCCCCTCCCAAGCCGCCTAGCGCAATGGTCGGATCCGAGGCGGGGCTGCCGGCGCTTTTCAGGCGGAAGGAGCTCGCGCGACCGGCGCCGAATCACAGGACGGGGCGTGGTGCTTGGCCGGTTCTGGCAGTGCTCCTCCTCTTTCCGGGACCGAGACGCTCTGTGGCACCATGTCTGCTTACCCCAAAAGCTACAACCCTTTCGATGACGATGCGGAAGACGAAGACTCTCGTTCAGCCCCGTGGAGAGATGCCCGCGACCTCCCCGACGGATCCAACGCACCCGCCGACAGGCAGCAGTACCTGCGTCAGGAGGTGTTGCGCAGGGCAGAGGCCACAGCCGCCAGCACTAGCAGGTCCCTGTCCCTTATGTACGAGTCCGAGAAGATTGGGGTTGCCTCTTCCGAGGTGAGTCTGGGAGAGGACTGAGCTAAACTGGCCAGTCTTTACATTGTTAGACGTGATTGAGAAATGTTTTGTTCATGTTCTTGAGAATTCCCGATTTGTCTACCCTAGGTTCTTGTACTTAGTGACTTTACCGTTTGTAATAATATGGTAACTATGTAAAGAGACAAGTATTTTGAGTTCTTGAAAGAGACCATTTACCCGGGGAATCTTCCTTAACTGAAACTCCATTTAGTTGATTTTTTTTCCCCTGTGTGCTTGGTTCAAAGGTAAACTCCTGAGGCATGAGAGCAAAGTTCTTCCTTCCATTCTTGACCATTTCTCCACCTTACCAGTAAAGATTTTAAAGATCCATGTGTGTGGACACCTGCTGAGAAAACTGAACCCTGAATTTGGTTAAGTCTAGAGCCTTACCTTTACTTCCCAAATCCTACACAGACTGCACATAGGTTGCGACAGTCTTGCTCCAGTTCATCTTTGTCAGCTTTTTCCAGCCAAATATTTCAGAAAGTAGGACTTCCAATGAGAATCATTCTCAATTTAGCTTTTTCAGTATATTAATTTTCTTTTCAGCCTGATAAACGGTTTTCGATTAAGGAAGAGATTATGGTAGATCAACTTAGAATAATCTTTAGCATTTTGATGTTGCAAATGTAATGGTTGAAACTAAAATATGGTCTTTATCCTTGGGTCTCTTCATAACTCTTCTCTGGCAGAGTTCATTCTCCCTGATCACTTAGGGTCTTAAGTGATCAAGGTATGAATATATAGATTAACTTCTCTAATATTCATCTCTATCATTTTCCTAATGTTGGTTTTCCTGTGTTATTTCCTTTACCCACTTCTCCCTTTTATGGTATCCCTCATTAATCTACCTTCCTGTCTTTCATCTCACTGAGGAGGTTTTGCTTGTGGTTTTTACATCACATATGTTCCTATGTTCCAGTCCAAATGGAAAGTCTCAATTTACATTTTGGATGATCACCAGAGGTCTTGGGGCTCTGGTTTACAGGGTCACTTGATTGGGGGTCCCAAGCCCAAGGAACCCAACTAAGAACTATTTAAAGAGACATTTCTGGAAACTATGAGAACGAAAGAAAATCGGAAATCAACACAATAAAAATTAGGTATTGTACTGGTCTCAAGCCTGTAATCCCGACCACTCAGGAGGCTGAGATAGAAGGGATCACAGGTTCAAAGCCAGCCTCAGCAACAGTGAGGCCCTGTCTCTAAATAAAGTACAAAATAGGTGGGGATGTGGCTCAGTGGTTGAGTATCCCTGAGTTCATTCCCTGGTACTAAAAAGAGAGAGAGAGAGAGAGAGATGTTGTGGTAGAAGATAAACTTGAATTTGGTTTTGAAGACTAAGATTTGGACAAGAAGAGTGAGGATGAAGGATGTTCCCAGGGAAGAGAGGGGGAATATGTAAATGAATTGGCTTAGAAATAAGATTCCTGAGGCCTGGGTTGTATTTCAGTGGCAGAGCACTTGCAAGCATGTGTGAGGCACTGGGTTTGATTCTCAGCACTGCATATAAATAAATGAAGTAAAGGTCCATTGACAACTAAAAAAAAAAAAAAAGGATTCCTAGGCTTCTGAGGAGGGGCATGATAGACAAGATATGTGGAAAGAAGAAGCTGCTTAGGAATCCCTGGTGGTCAGAAGAAAAGATTTGTTATCATAATTCAGGAGAAGCAAAAATACAATAGATGTGAGTTTATAATGTAAATTATGATGACATGTGCCATGCTACCCCAAAAGGTTCTTCTCTCTGTGCAATGGACTGTACACAGGCACTTGCACCTCTGACATGGGAGGCTTTGCCTGGGTGTTACTTGGAGAGGTGCAGTATGACTGGGCAGGTGATAGGCTTTCTCACCAGTGATTAAACATTGAATTTTTTCAGGATTGAATCAGTTCTCAATCATTAGAGGCTGAAACACCAGCACAGTGGCACATACTTATAATCCCAGTGATTTAGGAGGCAGAGGTGGGAGGATCACAATTTGAGTCAGCCTATGCAACTTAGCAAGACCTTTCCTCAAAATAAAAAATGAAAATGAGCTAGGAGGTGTAGTTCAGTGATAGAGCACCTCTGAATTAAATCCCAATACCACACACACACACACAAACAAATTATTAGAGGCCCTGCAAGTCAGAAATAATTAGCACCATCACCCTACCCCATATTGTATAAACTGTCTTTGAATCATTACTCTTTCATTCCCTTCATTGTTGGGATGGGAGTGGGTAATGTGAAATCTTTTGGTCACGCAGTGCTCCCAACAGACTCCAGTCCTGTTTACCCTGCTAACTTCCAAACTTAAATGGGTGCCTAACAAATACCCAGCACTGTGTAACATAGTAACACTTTTTTTTTTTTTTGTACTGGGGTTTGAACCCAGGGCCTCACACATGCTATGCAAGTGCTCTATCACAGAGCTACGTCCACAGCTCACTAAAGTAGATTTTTATAGAGGATTACGTACTTATAAGTAATATGAAATTGGGAAAAATCATAATTCAATCCCAGCCTGGCAGAAATGGGAAAATTACTTAGTAAAGTCACTTTTAACAAGGAGAACTGCACTTTCCTATTGTGAAACTTGACAAGGTTTGCTTCTCAAAAAGGCTCTGGTCATAGTCATGATGACCAAAGGACAGAGAAGTAGAGTGGGGCGTGTACCACCTGACTAACAGAACTATTGGTAAGTGTGATTTCTTTGTCCTTTCCTAAGGTTAATTTTTGCAAAAAGATGTTCCAGTCATGTGGTTCAAAATTTAGCTTTTCTTTTTCTTTTTCTTTTTCTTTTTTTTTTTGTTTTGTTTTTAATCTGCCATGCCTAAGGGATTGAACCTAGGGCTTCATGCATGCTAGGCAAGCACTTTACCACTAAGGTACATCCCAAGCCCTCAAAAACATACAGAGGATTATGAAATTTCCTCCCATCCCCCTGCCTTAGCCTCCCTTTTCTCCCAAGTAAGATAGCTACTACCATCTGCTGATTTGGTATCCTTATAGAAATACTCCATATATAAAGACATAGTTTTTATTCCTTTTTTTTAACTTAAAGATAAGTATTCTATACTTTATGATGCATACACAGCTTAATAGAATTGAAGATCATGCCATAGCAATATATAATGAGTTGTTTGGGGAGTTTTAGGTTTTCCTTTTTTGATTTATTTTGGTTTTGCTTTTTTAATGGTTATGTTATATTCTATTGAATGGATGAGTTCTGTTTATGCAGCCTATTCCCTAATGATGGACATTGTGTTGTTTTTACTTTTTGGTAAGCCTGGTTGAGTCCTGCTTGAACCTGTTTTTGTTTGTTTTCAATACTGGGGATTGTACCCAAGTGTGCCCTATCACTAAGCTACACCCTTGGCCCTTTTTATTTTTATTTTTGAGACAGGGGCTTGCTAAGTTACCCAAGTGGACCTCAAATTTGCAACACTCTTGCCTAAGCATCAGGTAACTGGATTACATGTGTTCACATACCTCACTTGTTCATGGTTTTTGTATGTCCTTTCACCACCCTGGCAGAGGATACCCCTCTTCGCAGGACACTGCTTTTCCTCTAGAAACCTAGCATATTCCATTGAAGATTTCTGGGGCCTAGGGTCTCAGTTCAGGAGAGTCTAGCAACAAATATTAGACCAGGGTCCAAATGGCTTACTCAACAACCTCAGTGGAAAGGAATGGTGTTTAATAGTGTGCAAGCATGATATACTCAGCCATCCTGGCCAGTACAGGCCCACTCATCTCCATGTATTTACAGCATTTGACAGTCACCAAAGCCATAATGAGCATTTGATTTAAATAGGTGAAAGAAATGAGAATACCCCTCCTAGACCAGGATCAGTAGTCATTGAGGTGACCCCCCCTTAGGATGTTGTCCCCATAACTTAGAGTAGATACATTGCCACAGGGTGGTACCCTTATTTTCTGGAAAACTGGTTGTAGAGCAGCCCACTCCCAGTGACACTCTGTACTGACCAGAGCCATCCTTCTGAAGCAGCAAGAAGTGATTCTGATGTAGCAGATTTCTTAGCAAAAGGGAGAAAGAGAGCTGTTAGGTGAAGTAATTTCTCAGTAGATTTCTAAATGTCAGATATGGGAAAGGAGCAGTCTCTTACTCAACTTTCTACCTCCACCCATCTCAGCAAAATGTCCTTTCCCCCCCCCCCCACGGACAGCGTCAATCAGGGATGACTGACTTCAGTCTCCATCTTTTCCAGAAGTCAGACGGATACCTTGTGGCCCAAGGCTTCCATCATAAATCACAGTGTTAACATAAACTCTCTTGTCTAGCCTAAGCTCTCAAGTAAATAGAGCTGCTCTTATCAGGCAGGATATTCTAAGGATAAGGGCCAGATCTTTTTTTGGAATGTGGAGGGTAGGGATAGCCCAGACTTGCTAAATTAGTTCTTTACCAACAATAAACGGGTTTGCATTGGCTGACACAGCAACACCAGTGGAAAGGGACTGGTGTTTGGTAGAGTGCACAGATGCAATGAGTAGCACTTGCATTACCAGCTTTGTCCTCAATGGGTTTCATTCACTTGTTTTTTGTGGTTCTGGGCGATTGAACCCACGTCCTTACTTATACTAGGCAAGCAAGCATTCTACCACTGAGCTAAAAGCCCAGCCCCCAGTGTTTTTTCTTGCAACCAAAGGCCTGGTTTTGTGTGTTTGGCTATACTGGGGATCAAACCATGGCCTTGTACATGCCAAGCAAGTGCTCTGTCATTGAACTACATCTTCAATCCTTTTTATTTTTTACTTTGAGATGAGGTTTCTCTAAGTTGCCCTGGCTGGCTTCAATTTTAGAATCCTCCTGCCCCAGCTTCCTGAATAATTAGGATTTATAGACATGTGCCACTGCACCCAGCCTGTTTTGTGTTTCTGAATCCACTCCATTCCATGGCTGCTATAGTCAGAGATCCAGGTTTGACCATGTCCTACGTGTGCTCAGGTATACCTGCCTGTGCATGTTACATGTATGTGATCCCTTGAGAGGGAAGAAACATAACAGATAAATTTCAACTTTCTAGATTCAACTCACTGACTCTGGATTTACTTATCAGTTAATGCCTGAGTTTAATTATAAGCTCAGTATAAGAACCTTAGTACTCCAGGAGTAACAACGCCCATCTGATGTTACAAGATGCTTTGGTTGTGAATTTTGATGGTAATCTAGTGATCACTACTGCCCTTGGAAGGCCTTAGCTTTATCCCCTTGGTGTTCCCTGATGGGTCCTGCCAAGAAGCCCCACCCACTCTCCTTCTGTTCTTACCACACAGTTCCACTTCCCTTCTTAATTCCTCCAGCTGCCCCAGGCCAGCCACTGCTTCCTTCTCTGCTCCATGCTTTTGGCTCCATCCCCACACTTTGGATTCCCTAACTTCTCAACTTTTAGTCTCTCCTCCAGCCTCATTATTGGGCTGGGGCTGAAGCTTAGTGGTAGAACGCCTGCCTCATATGTTTGAGGCACAGGGTTCAATCCTCAGCACCACATAGAAACAAATAAATAAAGATATTGTGTCCATCTACAACTAAAAAAAATTTTTTTTTTATTTTTTTTTAATATTTATTTTTTAGTTTTCGGCGGACACAACATCTTTCTTTGTATGTGGTGCTGAGGATCGAACCCGGGCCGCACGCATGCCAGGCGAGCGCGCTACCACTTGAGCCACATCCCCAGCCCCTAAAAAAAATTTTTTAAGCTGAATATTAATGCATGGGCTGGGCATGGTGGCACATGCCTTGTAATCACAGTGGTTTGGGAGACTGAGGCAGAAGGATTGTAAAGTTCAAATCCAGCCTCAGCAACTTAGTGAGGCTCTAAGCAACTTCAGCAACTTAATGAGACCCATGTCTCAAAATCTAAAAATTGGCAGGGGTGGGAGGAGTTGGAGATGCTCAGTGGTAAGCAGCCTTGGGTTCAAAACCTGGTACCAAAAGAAAAAAAGAATGCTAGAGAACATTTTTGTTTGGTTTTTGTTTTATTAAGGATTGAACCCAGGATTGCTCTGCCACTAAGTTAACATCCCCAGCCCTTTTTATTTTTACAGAATCTCGCTGGCCTTGAGCTTGCTATCCTCCTGTTTTGAACCTACTGAGTGGCTGGGATTGCAGGCATGTTCCGCTGTACCCACCTAGAGAATATAATTTTAATTCTAATTTATAGCTTAGTCATGCCTTGTTGCAGAACAGACATCCTCAGTTTGGTTATGAAAATGATAACTTGAGATATTTGAAGAAATTCCAGACAAATTAGCAGCTCATTTTTTTCCCTTCTAAAAATTAGCCCTTGTAAGATTTGCTTGGCATACTAAAGGAAGTAGTCCAAAAATCATTTTTGTTCTTTCTTAAAAATGCATGATTAGGGGCTGGGGTTGTGTTGTGGCTCAGTGGTAGAGTGCTCGCCTGGCATGCTTGAGGCACTGAGTTCAATCCTCAGCACCACATAAATGTAAAATAAAGATATTGTGTCCACTTAAAACTAAAAAATAAATATTTTTTAAAATGCATGATTATTTATTCAGAAATATTTCTTGAGCTGGTAAAAATAAATTAATAAATTAACATTCAAAACTTTAAAGTTTAACCCAGCACAGTGGTACACACAGTGGTCCCAGCTACTCAGGAGGCTGAGGTAAGAGGTTCACTTGAATCCATTTTCTTTTTCCTTGTTACTGGCAATCAAACCTGAAGCCTAAAGCATGCTAGACAAGCACCCAGTCACTGGGTATGTCCCCAGCCCTTACACATTGTATTTTTAAATTCTACTAAATAAAAACTCATGCTAGATATTGGATTTCTAAATATGCAAAAGGCCTTCAACTGATACCTTTATCTCTACAGTAAGCTTCCAAAAATTTCATCTAGTCATCTTTCAGTATCTGCAGAGAATGGTTCTAAGACTACACACGCATGCACACATGCACACACATAAAAATACCAAGCTCCTTGGTTTCCCAAATCCCTTCAAAATGGCATAGCCAGGACTGGGGTTGTGGCTCAGTGGTAGAGCACTTGCCTAACATGTGTGAGGCACTGGGTTCGATCCTCAGCACACATAAAAATAAATAAATAAAATAAAGGTATTTATTTTTTAATGGTATAACCAAATGCTGTGGCCCATGCCTATAATCCAAGAAACTCAGGAGGCTGAGGCAGGAGGATCACAAGTTGTGAGTCCAGCCTCAGCAATTTAGCAAGGCCCTAAACAACTTAGCAAGACCCTGTCTGCAAAAAGATAAAGGGCTGGGGATGCGGTTCAAAGTAAAAATAAGCCAGGCTCAACAGCACACAGTGGTGATCCCAGCACATTGGGAGGCTGAAGCTAGAGGATTCAAAGTTTGAGGCCAGCCTCAGCAGCTTAGTGAGACCCTAACTCAAAGAGGGCTAGGGGCTGGAGCTGTAACTCAGCAGTAGAGTGCTTGCCCACATGTGTAAGGCACTGGGTTCGATCCTCAGCACCACATAAAAATAAATAAATATATTTTTTAAAAAAAGAGGGCTGTGTGTGTGTGTTTTAAGGTACCAGGAACACTAAACCATTAAGCCATATCCCTAGCCCTTTTTATTTTTTATTTTGAGACATTGCTTAGAGCCTCACTAAATTGCTAAGGCTGGCCTCAAACTTGCAATCCTCCTGTCTCTGCCTCCCAAACCACTGAGATTATAGGAGTATAGCTCCACACCTGGTTTCCTATATATTTTAAGTCATCTTTAGATTACTTACTAATGTAAATACTGTGTTCACAGTTCTTATGCTGTTTTATTTAGGAAATAATGACAGGTAGAGCATGTTTGCACATACTATAATCCCAGCTACTTGGAAAACTAAAGCAGGAGGATCTCAAGTTTGAGGCCAGCTCACCAACTTAGAGACCCTATCTCAAAATAAAGAGTTGAAAGGGCTGGGGAGCTGGGCATGGTGGTACAGGCCTATAATACCTATGATTTGGGAGACTAAAGCAGGAGGATCACAAGTTCAAAACCAGCCTCAGCAATTTAGCAAGACTTGTCTCAAAATAAAAAGGGCTAAGGATGTAGATCAGTGATAGAGTACCTATAAGTTCAATCCCGATATCAAAGGGGGGAAAATGGAAATAATGACAAGAAGAAAATTTAGATACACGTTCAGTTACAGACATTTTTCCAAATATCTTCATGGTTGGTTTAATCCTCACGTATTAATCCTCACAACTACATATTTTCAGCTCTATCATTCACATTTCAAATATGTTTAAGAATTGTTCAAGACTTTGTTTTAGGTATCAAAAAAATTAGCTCTGTGTAACATTTTCATAGTTAATATAATTGCTAAGCTAAAAGAAGGTCAATAGAGAGAGAAGATTCAAAGGAGGGGAGCTGAAAACAGCAGCTATTTTATGAATAGGGAAAATGAAAAGCTTGAGAGTCTTCTGGCTGGAGGTGCAGCTCCCAGGGAACACGGTTGGTATAGCTGCAAATAAATCCTAAAACAGGAAGTAAAGGGCTAGGAATATAGATCAACGGTAGAGTACTTTCCTAGCATGGATGAGGATTTGAGTTCAACTCTCAACACTGCAATATGAATAAATAGGGACCGAAACAAGTTTGTTACACATGAAGGAGAGTATTAGTAGTATTCTGGTGAGTTCTCCTCCTCAGCCAGAACCATCAGCTTAGAGGGTTATGATCAAGGCTATCACCACAGCTGCAGAATATCATTCATGTATCAATTTGGCAAATTATAGCAAGCAGCTACTGAGTTAGGCACTGGAGACAAGGCAGTGAACAAAGCAAGTCCTGCTTCAAGAAGTGTGTATGCTTTAAGGAGAACCACAGCAGGTGGAAAGAGGAAGGCTGTTGAAAGGAGAAGTTCTACTAGAGTCTAGGGGGGCCATGCCAGGTCCAAGCCTATAAGCATTATGACGGCTGGGGGCACTAAAGAGCATCTGCAGCCAGCACAGTCCCTGGACTCTGACCCCCGAAAGGCATTTCCCCATTTATCTCAGTGTGATCCTGTACGCCCACCTCTGGAGCAAAGGGATTCAAGAGAAAAGAAAAGAAGTAAAGATAGGATAGACAGGGAAGAACAAAGAAATGTGTTGTCAAAAGGGATAGTGCGCCTTCTACAAATCAGTTCCTGCATATGCTTGCTAAGGTTATGAAGGGCCTGCTGTGTGTGGTCCAAGAAGAGGGAATTATAAAAGGACATAAAGCTGCTGCCTCTCATTTTCCCCAGGAACTAGTTCGACAGCGAGGAGTCCTAGAACACACAGAAAAGATGGTGGACAAAATGGATCAAGATTTGAAGACTAGCCAGAAACACATCAACAGCATTAAGAGTGTGTTTGGGGGGCTCGTCAATTACTTCAAAGCCAAACCAACGGAGACCCCATCTGAACAGAATGGTACTCTTGCTCCCCAGCAGAACAGCAGGTAAGAACAGCTTACAGATATAAAGTAGCAGAAGTAGATTTACTCCCAATAGTGAAGACTTTCAGGTCTTATCAGTACCTTCAAGGGATCCAGGAAGCCTATAAGTTACTCATGAGGAGAGATTGTTGAAACAGATCTTTCTCCTCTGCTAAGGACTTTCATTTGATTGGCATGTAGTCTATAAATTCTGCATACTTCCTCATGACCCTAATACTTGGCTATTTTCTTTTCTTTTGCTGTACTGAGAATTAAATCCAGGGGTACTCTAGCTCTGAGCTATATCCCCAGCCCTTTTTATTTTTATTTTTTGAGACAGGGTCTTACTAAATTGCTGGGGCTGGCCTCAAACTTTGGAATCCTCCTGTCTCAGCCTCTAGAGTCCCTGGAATTACAGGTATATAACACCACACCCAACTGACCCTAGTACTTTGAGATATTCATGAGAAGATTAGTATAAATGTGAATTTCTGCTTTTAAAAAGCCATAGCACAGGGCTCACTGTCCCTTCCCTCCAGGCACTTCCTGGATTTCATCATCTTGAATTTACTCAGCCTCCCAAATCACTGGGATTACAAGTGTGCACCACCATTCCTGGCTATGATGCTTCTGTAGTTGTTGTAGATGGACAGAATACTTTTATTTATTTAATTTTGTGTGAGATACTGAGAATCAAACCCAGTGCCTCACATGTACTAGGCAAACACTCTGCCGCTAAGTTTACAGCCCCAGCCTCATACCTTTATTTTATTTATTTGTTTCTATGTGGCACTGAGGATCAAACCTAGTGTCTCACACATACTAGGCCAAGTGCTCTACTACTGAGCCTAGCCTGATCCTTTATTTTTTGGGGGGATGTACCAGGGATTGAACTCAGGGGCACTCAACCATTGAGCCACATCCCCAACCCTATTTTGTATTTTACTTAGAGAAAGAGTCTTACTAAGTTGCTTAGTGCCTTGTTTTTGCTGAGTCTGGCTTTGAACTTACAGTTCTCCTCCTGAGCCTTCCAAACTATTGGGATTACAGGCTTATACCACCACACCCAGATTGATCCTTTATTTTTTGATGTATTCTTATGAGCATGTTTTTGGTAGCAATCCTTCTTGGGTATGTTAAAGAGGTTGAATGCTGAGTTTCGGGAAGTTAATTCTTACAGATTTGTCTTTTAAATGTAGACAATGAACATATTCATATTTACTATACAATGGAAAATTTAAAGTCTGGGGATGTAACTCAGTGGTAGAGTGCTTGCTTAGCATGTCAAGGCCCTGGATTTGATCCCCAGAAGTGAAAAATAAAAGGCATTGTAAATGAAATATTTTACTTAAAAAAATGAATAAATAAATAGAAAATTAAAAGCCATAGCATACACCTGTAATCTCAGCAATTGGGAGGCTGAGGTAGGAAGATCACAAGTTTGAGGTCAGTCTCAACAACTTAGTAAGACCCTAAGTATCTTAGTGAGAACTTGTCTTAAAATAAAAAAATATTAAAAGGACTGAGGATATAAATCCATGGTAAAGCACCTCCTGGGTTAATTCCCCAGTACTCTCTCCCCTGAAATTATTTTTATGCCTTTATTCATTTATTTTTTATTTATTTATTTTTAGAGAGAGAGATATTTTTTTTTTTAAAGAGAGAGGAGAGAGAGAGAGAGAAGTTTTTAATATTTATTTTTTAGTTTTTTCGGCGGACACAACATCGTTGTTTGTATGCGGTGCCAAGGATCAAACCTGGGCCACACGCATGCCAAGCGAGCGCGCTACCGCTTGAGCCACATCCCCAGCCCCTCATTTATTTATTTTTAAGTGGTGCTGAGGATAAAGCCCAGTGCCACACATGTACTAGGCAGTCATCCTAGCTCCCCAAAAAATAACTTTTTGACAACCAGCTTTTTGCATATCTAATCCAGTTTGCTCATTGACTTTCATTTTAAAATTAGAGATTATTTTTCTCAAAATTTTTAGGCTAGAATACTGTAAAATCATAAAGAAGATTTTAGCAAACCAAATATGGTGGTATATGTCTATAATCCCAGTGGCATTCTTGGGCAGTTTAGCAAGACCCTCAAAATTTAAAAGAAAAGGAACTTGGGATATCCCTCAGTGATAGAGTGCTAGTCTTGCATACACAAAGTCCTGAGTTGAATTTAGAGGCATTGATATAATTTGTGTAAAGAGAGTTAAGACAAGAGGTAGATTTCTGGGATACCTGGGAAGTAAGAAGATCCCAAGAATTTTCACCCAGAATAGTATCATGCAGAGAGGGAGAGCACAAACCAAAAATTACTGATTTGGGGGCTGGAAAGTATTTTAAAGAAAAAGAATAATTGGTTTTAAAAAAAATTGGTCAGGCAAGTGGATCAGGGGAAAGGGAAGGTACTAGGTAATGAGATCAATCAAATTATGTTGTGTGTTTGTACAAATGTGGCATAATGACTTATATCGTGATGTATCATTATAATTCACCAAATTTTTTAAAAATAACATGGTCAGTCTGTCATTTAGCAGAGATGGAGAAGAATAATATATTGGGGGGAACCAGCTCCCAGATAGAGGCACCTGTCATGTTCCTGGGGACTGACTCATCATAGTGTCAGGCATGGGCTGATAGTCTGTGAGTTGCCAAGAAAAGTCCCTGTCTATAGCCAAAGTCAGCAAACAAGGGTCTATGGGACAGGAAGCAAAATCAGAGATATTTTGTGGGGAATTATATGACAAGAGAAAAATAAATGACCACAAATTTTTAGTGACAAACTTCAAAATATAAAAATGTAATAGTTGAGTGCAGGTTTTTGGTAATATAGCTCTATTAACCAGAAAAAAAAATTGTGCTATTATCTGTAAAGGCCATTCATTGTTTGTGTTTATACAAAAATAGATGATTTTATGTTATCCATATAATCACTACAATTTTAAATAATGGGATTAAAAAAAAAAAAGATGATGAACCAGATTTGGCCCATAGATCGTAATTTACTGACCCCTGGTCTAAAATATCTACTTATCATTTTTATCTACTTTTCATCTACTTTGTCCTAGGACTCATTTTTCTAAGTGAGACCCTACTAATGAAATGCTATGCTTCTAAGGCAGGGGCCTTCAACTGTCCTCCTAAAAGGGAATGCTGAATTTTCTGCTTTGGTCAAAAGCATTTGATTTTTAGCACACACACATAACTTGAAAAGACTTAATGACACTATTATAGGGATTTTCCTTTTTAAATGTTGTAATTTTCTTTTATCCAAAGATTAAAAGAAGCCATAAATACAAGTAAAGAACAGGAGACAAAGTACCAAGCCAGCCATCCAAACCTCAGAAAGCTGGATGATGTAGGTAAGTGGTAAATAAAATAATCTACCAGAAGTATCTACTTCCTAATCCTCAGAACCCATGACTATATTAGGTTTTAGACAATAGGAGAGTTATGATTATATGTGGAGCTGACTTTCAAATGGGGAGATTATCTTGGGTTATCCAGTTGGGCCCAAGATCACCCCCAAGGGTCCTTCATATGTGGAAAATGGAAGCAAAAGAGAAAATGTCAGCCAGGCACAGTGGTGTACACCTATACTCCCATTTACTCAGGAGGCTGAGGCAGGAGGAATTGCCTGGCCAATTTAGTTAGACCCTATCTCAAAATAAAAAGTTAAAAGAAGTGGGGATGTAACTCACCCCTGAGTTCAACACCTAATACAACAAAAAGAGAATGTCAGAGTAGTGCACCCATGGATTCAATCCCTGATCCAAAAAAAAAAAAAAACACAAAAAGAGTCCAAGAGAGATCTGGAAATGCTGCACTGTTGGCTTTAAAGATGAAGGAAGGAACCACTTACAAAAGAATGTAGGTAAGGATAAGGAATTGGATTCTCTCTCAACATCCTACAGAAAAACATAGCACTGTCAATATCTTAAACTTCACTCATTGAAACCCAGGCTAGACTTCCAATCTTCACAACTGAAAGATAAGTTTATGATAGTTTTGTCACAGCAATAGGAGGAGACCAATATAACCCCCACTTCTGTGCAGGAGAAGTAGCAGCATGGGCAAGGTGTACAAGGTAGACCTTGTGATATTAATAAGAGTCAGTCTACTGATATCAAATGATAGGCTCAGAAACATATCTGGAAAGGAATTGAGGCCTCCTAGGACCTCTGTGAGCCCCTTGAAAACCACACACATCAAAACAATGGTAGAAATCCCCCCAAAAACTAAATTTGATTAGTGGATGTTGATCTATGATGGGGGGGGGGATGGAGGAACTTTGGATTGGGCAAAGGGGAGGATTGAGAGGGGTTATGAGGAAGGAAAGATGGTGGAATGAGATGGACATCATTACCCTAGGTACATGTATGATTGCACGAATATACAGTATACAACATACAGTATACTCTATACAGTATACAACCAGAGAATTGAAATGTTGCACTCCATTTGTACATGATAAATTGAAATGCATTCCGCTGTCATATATAAATAAGTAGAACAAATAAAAATTTAGAAAAATAATGGTAGAATTTAAATACTGACTATACCTAACTATGCCACTTTTGACGAAGTCAGGATGCATCCTGACAGCACTAAAACCCATGTAGCTCCATGGGCACTCCTGGATTCAATCAGTTTGAGGGCAGGAGGGAGTATAGGAGTATACAGGGTCATAGTTGACATAGCTAAGGAAAGACCTGATAGAAGAAGGACTGGGTTGGGACATACTGGTTGGGCACAATTCATTCTAGAAAGGGAGAAACCATGAGAGAAAGTGAAGGTAAAATTAAAATGCAAAGGACCCAAGAAAACCCATGTGGATATCATACACTGAAGAAATAAAATAGTACCCCATACCTGAAAGGGAACTGAAAAAATATGGATACCATATTTGTAGACTGGCTTCAGTAGGTTGATGTTAGAGGAAAGGAAATTCAGTCAGCCCTTCATATTTGTAGGTTCTATATCTGCAAATTCTAAATTTGTGCACTCAAATAATCATCAATCCAAAATATTCTTAAAATTGTGCTGTACTAAACGTGCTGACTTTTAATTCTTGCCATTACTCTCTAAATAGTACAACATAACAACTATTTACATAGCACTTACATTGTATTGTTTTATAAGTAATCTAGAGATTATTTAAAGTATACAGAAGGAGCTGGGTATAGTAGCATACATCTGTAATTCTAGCAATTGGGAGACTCAGGTAGGAGGATCACAAATGGAGGCCAGCCTTGTCAACTTATCAAGATCCTGTCTCACCAGGTTCAGTGGCATGACAGTAATCCCAACACCTCAAGGGCTGAGGCAGGAGGATTGCAAGTTCAAAGCCAGCCTCAGCAATTTAGCGAGGCCTTAAGCAACTTAGTGAGACCCTGTCTCAAATTAAAAAATAAAAAGGGCTGGGAATGTGGCTCAGTGGTTAAGCAGCCACAGGTTCAATCCCTGGTACCAAAAAAAAAAAAAAAAAAAATAGACCCTATCTGAAAATAAAAAGGGTAGGGAATGTAGCTCCACGGACACTCCTGGATTCAATCAGTTTGAGGGCAGGAAGGAGTATAGGAGTATAAGGAAATGTGAGTAGGTTATATGCATTTTATATAAGGCATTTTATATAAAGCATCCCTTGTTTTAGATATCTGTTGAGGATCCTGGAACTCTAATACACTATGATACAAAAGGATGACCATACTGTACTGTAGAGAGAAATTTCTCCCAAAAGAGGCAAATCAAGGTGACAGGGCTTTTCTGTGTGCCTTTAGGAATTGAATTTCAAGGGCCAGAGGTGTAGCTCAGTGGTAAAGTGCTTGCCTAGCATACGTGAAGTCCAGGGTTCAACCCCAGTACTGCAAAATGGAGAAGGGGAAGGAAGCCAGGCCCAATGGCACTTACCTATAATTCCCAACAACTCAGGAGGGTGAGGTAGGATGATCACAAGTTAAGGTCAGCCCAGCAACTTAGCAAGACCCTCAGCAATTGGAAAGACCCTGTCTCACAATAAAAAATAGAAATGACTGGGGTGGTAAAATGTACCTGAGTTCAATTTCTTGCACTGGAGGAGAAGGGACTGACGTTTAAGGAACATTTCTTGGAGCAAATGTGCACCATTTAACAGTTCTTATATGCTTACTTTAAGTAAAAAGACAGCATAGAAATAAATATCCAAAAGAACAAAAAAATCACTCATAATCCCATTTCTGTAACTTAACTTTGATTCTTTTTTTTTAATATTTATTTTTTAGTTGTAGTTGGATACAATACCTTTGTTTTATTTATTTTATTTTTATGTGGTGCTGAGGATCGAACCCAGGGCTTCACACATGCTAGGCGAGCGCTCTACCACTGAGCCACAACTCTAGCACCCCCGTCTCTTTTTATTTTTGAAACAGGGTCTCACTAAGTTACTCAGACTCGCCTTGAACTTGGAATTGTCCTGCCTTAGCCTCCTGAGTTGCTGGGATTACAAGTATGCACTACTGCAACTGGCTACAGCTTTTATTTTTAAACCTTGACTCTCTGAGCACAGTAGCATTTGCCTGTAATCCCAGCTATCCAGGAGACTGGGGCAGGAGAATTGCTTGTGCCCGGGATTTGAAGACAGCGTGGGCTATTTAACAACACCCCATCTCAAAATTTTTAAAAAGCTAAAAGTGGAGCTGAGGGCAAGGGCTGGGGCTGTAGCTCATTTGTAGAGTACCCGCCTCACATGTGTGAGGCACTGGGTTTGATCCTTAGTACCACATAAAAATAAATAAAGATATTGTATCCAACTTCAATTTAAAAAATATTTTAAAAATAAAATGTAAAAAATAAAAAAGCTAAAAGGCACTGGGGGTGTAGCTCAGTGGTTGAGTGTGTGCTTAGCATGCACAAGGCCCTGGGTTTAATCTCTAGCACCCCTAAATTTTTTTTTTCCTTTTGATAACTAGGGATTGAACCTGGAGTACATTACCACTGAGCTATATCACCAAGCCTTTTTATTTTTTATTTTGAAACAGAGTCTCACTAAAGTACTAAATCTCAGACTTGGAATCCTTGTGCCTCAGCCTTGAGAATCACTGGGATTACAGGTGTACACTACCATGCCTACACCTTGTCCATGCACTTGTGTAATTTTTGCCCTGATGCAGTACCTCTGCCATACAACAGTACTAGTATGAATGTGTCTTCTAGAGTCTGTGTACCCAGGGTTTGTCTAGTTGACCCATGGACTGAGAGTCTTATTGGGGGGAGATTGTTTTTTGAGAGACAGGGTCTTGCTGTCTTGCCCAGGCTGATCTCAAACTTCAGGCCTTAGCCTCCCAAGAAGCTGGTATTATGGGCATGTACCACCACACCCAGCCCATGATACTGCTTTGGGCTCTTCCTTCATATGTTGTATCTATTCCCACCCCTATCATTCTATATTGCCTCAGAGCCAGTTACTTCATTCCTTCTAGCCATTTGCTGAATTAAGACCATTTTCATGCCACGGGCAATGGATAAGCCTGTATGCCTAGCTACTCCAGAGGTTGACACAGGAGGATTACACATTTATGACCAACTTGGGCAACTTAACAAGACTCTATCTCAAAAATAAAAAGGTCTGAAAGTATAGTTCAGTAGTAGAGTTATCTCTGGGTTCAATCCCCAGTATAATGAAAACATAAAAGACATATTTTATAATGAGATGGAGGAATAGCTCAGAGATAGAGCACTTGCCTACCGTGCTCAAGACCCTGTGTTTGATCCCTAGCACTGCAAAAATAAAGCCAGGTGTGACAGCATACGCTATAACCCCAGTGACTCAGAAGGCTGAGGCAGGAGGAGCACAAGTTCTAGGCCAGCTTAAGCAACTTAGTGATACCATGTCTCAAAATGAAAATTTAAAAGGTGCTGAGTAATGGAGTTTCTTTCAGCCAAAAAGAATTAAATTATGGCTGGCCACAGTGGCATACACAATTTAGCAAGACCCTAAGAAACTTAGTGAGACTCTATTTCTAAATAAAATGTTAAAAGGGCTGAGGATATGGCACAGTGGTTAATCGCCCCTGGGTTCAATCCCCAGTAACAAAAAAAAAAAGCAATCTTTTCACCCATTTACAAGAAAATGGGTGAAAGATCATAATGTTAAGCAAATTAAGCAAAACTCAGAAAGTCAAGGGTCAGTCTTATGTTTTCTCTCATATGTGAAAGCTAGAAGAGGACAAAGGAAAAGAAAGGTGGGAGGGGGAATCTCATGAAAATCGAAGGGCAATCAATAAAGAAAGGGACCAGGGAAAGGGGGAATACTGGGGAATTATGTTGGCCCAATTATATTGTTACATCATGTACGTATACAAAGATGTAATAAATCCTATCTTTGTGTATTAATTATAGTGGGCCAATAAAAAATATGGAAAATAATAAAAAGGTGCTGGAGATGTAGTGCACTAGTAGAGCTCTCCTTCAGTCCCTGGAACCAAAATAAAAAGATCAATTTCATGAAGCAGCATTTCATAGGATATCAGTTAACCATTCTCCTGTTGTTTCTAAATCAGATTCTGTCCTTGGAGGGCCTGGTTCTGCTGTGAATACAGAGGCTTACCCAAAGAACCCACACCTTCGAGCCTATCACCAGAAAATTGACAGCAACTTAGGTAAGACCAAGAGCTGCATCAGCCTCTATAAATCACTTATCTTCCAGGTAGCTCATGCCAAGCACAACCAGCATACACAAAGCCATCAGTTAGTTGCTCTTTATCCATGTGTTACATGGTCGTGTTCATCTCACCACCTCACTATCTCCGGAATCTATCCACATCTATTTCCTGCTTTTCTATTTTTTCAATCAACCAAGTCATGCCTTCCTCTTTTTTTTTTTAAGTTGTCAGTGGACCTCTATTTTATTTATTTATATGCTGTGCTGAGAATTGATTCCAGTACTTCACACGTGCTAGTCAAGTGCTCTACTTCTGAGCTACAACCCCAGCCCCTGTACCCATCTCTTGGTTGGATCCTGACAGTAGCAGGACCTAGGAGTCCCTGTGAGGCCTACATCACAGCCTTGCTGAGACTACTTGCTCCATCCTTCCTATGTAGCCACATGGAGCCCCATTTCCCCCACTATGAAACTGGCTGCCCCTGAGGATAAGTAGGAGAGTTGTATGAACTGACAATGTGAGCATTTAGGAAAGTGCCTGGGTTGATAAGAGTTGGCAGTCACTTGGCACATTATCCACACTGCTGCCAGAGTGATCTTTCAAAACAGAAATCAGGTGGTACCTTCTTCCAAAGCTCTCTCATGTATACCCCTGTACACTTGGAACACAGTACAGGCTTATTGCCCTTGCCTCCTCCCCGCAACCCCTCTTTCCCTCACTACCGTTGGCTCCTGTGGACTTTTTTCCCCTTTCTTCCTCACATGCCATCTTCCTGGAGTGACCTTTCAGGCTAGCCCCTTCTCACACAGCTAGTTCTGTTTCATTGTGGCCTCCTCTTTTTTTTTTTTTTTTTAAGCTAGGGATTGAACACAGAGGCTCACACATGCTAGCCAAGCATTCTACCACTGAATTATGTCCCCAACCCTTGACTTCCTCTTATAATCACTCAGAGCTCTGATTTTCTACAGTCCTGCCCATCTACTTGTGGTCCTCTCTGCTGGTTATTGGCTGTCTTCTGAACCACAGAGTTAATTTCAGGAGAGCATGTGAATGTGTCTGTTCTACCACTACTTTATTTACAGGGCCCAGTAGGAACACTTGATGATAATTTTTTTTTTTTTTTTTTTTTTTAATGAGAAGAGAAGTCAGTCATTTGAGGTCCAAATGGAGAGCCATGCTCAAGCAGCAGGAGTTGGCTCATGGACATGAGTTTATTCAAAGATATGTCTCAGATATGCTGCCTCCTCTTACCTTTACTACTCAAACAGGAACCTCACCACAGTTATCTGAGTCTCCTGGCCCTTATTAGGAACTGGCAAAGTGAGTGAGACAAATAATAAAAATTCTCCCTGCTCTAAACTGGAAGGCACAACTGAAACCCATGAAGATGCGTGTTGGGTATCTATGCATAGGCTTCTCCTGCTCATTCCCATGAGGGGACAACACCAATGGATTCCTTTCCTTGTTTTTCTATGGTGATGTTCATTCCAGCAGTCTGATCCTATAACATAAATGTCATATTGGTTGAATGAATATTCTTTTTTGTATTATATAAACTATTTATTTCCTTGTTAGTTTTTTCCTACTTACGCTGATATGTCAGAAAACTTCTCATTACAATGAATTTCTGTTCCTCTTCTCTTCCTCCCTCCCCTCATTTCTTTCTTAGATTACATGATGTCTGCAGTCTTTTTCTTCTTAATGACATTTAACTTTGTTTCTTTTTCTTTTCTTTTTTTAGAAGTAAGAGCTAAGTTGCTCAGGCTGGCCCTGAATTGCTGGGCTCAAGGATCTTCCTGCTGCCTCCCAAGTAGCTGAAACTAGTGTGCACCACTGCACCTAACCTAACCTTTGTTTTTGATTCATTATTTGAAAATTAGGTAAATAAGTGCCATGAGAAAAAAAACACCCATACCCTCCTGTCTGGCAGTGTTTGCTAATTTGGTATAATCCTTCCATTTTTCATGTATGTATGTACACCTGTATCTATAATATCAGGTGTACTTGGCATTATGTCAATGTATTTACTTTTTATTTTTATTTTTTTAGTTGTATATGGACATAATACCTTTATTTTATTTATTTCTTTATGTGGTGCTGAGGCTTAAATCCAGTGCCTCACACATGCTAGATAAGTGTTTTACCACTGAGCCACCCCCAGCCCCGTATTCACTTTTTTTTTTTTTTTTTTGTAGTTGTAGAGGACAGCATGCTTTTATTTTATTTGCTTATTTTTGTATGTGGTGCTAAGAATTGAACCCAGTGCCTTACCCATGCTAGGCAAGCACTCTTCCACTGAGCCCCAGCCCCAGCACATGTATTTACTTTTGTATCCTGCTTTTTCACTTATGACTTGAATACTTTCCTAAACTACAAAATTTATTTGAAAAGCACCACTTTTAAAAGTTCCATTCAGGGCTGGGGCTGTGGTTCAGTGGTAGAGCGCTTGCTTAGCATGTGAGAAGCACTGGGTTCAATTCTCAGCACCAAATATAAATAAATGAATAAAATAAAGGTCCATCAACATCTAAAAAAAATTTTTTAAATTAAAAATAAAATAAAATAAAATTTCCACTCTCATCAGGCACAATAGTGCACACCTGTAATCCCACTAAGGCAGGAGGATCACAAGTTTGATGCCAGCCTTAGCAACTTAGCAAGGCCCTAAGCAACTGGGTTCAACCCCCAGTACAAAAAAAAAAAAAATTCTATCCCCTGCTCTTCAACATTATTTTCAATGTTTGCTACCATAAATCATTTAGCCATTCCCATGCAGCAGAATTCTGGCCACATTTTGTAGCTTGATTAGTAGAAATAGAATCAGCAAATATCTCGTTAAGCTTTAAAGGAAATCTTTATGTGGAACTGGGGTTGTGTTGTGGCTCAGTGGTGGAGTGCTTGCCTGGCATGTATGAGTCACTGGTTCAATCCTAGCACTGCATATAAATAAATAAAACGAAGGTATTGTATTAATCTACAACTTAAAATTTTTTTTAAAAAAAAGAAACGTTTATGCAAAAAAGGACATGAATTTTAGAGAACAGATATAAACAAGAGCAAATAAATAACTTTTTCTGCCACTCACAGCTTACCACTGTTACCTTCGATGAAAATGTAAATTTTTTGTTCTGTTTTTGTTTAGTGAGTTGCCCAGGCTGAACTTGAACTCCTGAGTTCAGGGAATCTTCCTGCCTTAACCTCCCCAACAGCTAGGATTATAAGCAAGAACCATTATGCCCTGCTTATTGTCATTTCAGATCTCTGTGACCTATGCCATTAGGGAAGTGGTTTTCTTTTTCTTTTTTTAAATTTTTTTTTAGTTGTACATGAACATATAGTATCTTTATTTATTTATTGGTACTGAGGATTGAACCCTGTGTCTCACCATAGAAGGCAAGTGCTCTACCACTGAGCTACAATCCCAACCCCAGAGAAGCTGCTTTCAACCCACCAGTAGCAGCTCTCTCCATACCCACAGGCTTCTCCCCTCAACTCCACCCTCCTTCACCCTCAGAGTTCAGAAAAGAACCAGACAGATAGCCACCTCTGTTTTTTTTTGTTTGTTTGTTTGTTTGTTTGTTTTGTTTTGTTTATGTGGTGCTGAGGTTCAAACCCAGTGCCTCCCACATGATAGGCAAGTGCTCTATCATTGAGCCCCAACCACAGCCCCCAGATAGCCACCTCTTGATTCTGTCCTCTGGACTTTGCACTCCGGAATAAGATTCTCCAAGACCAAAAATGTGTCTGCCCAGATTTGATCACCCCATAGATACCCGAAGGTGCTCCAAAGCCTCTTTATCCTTCATCAGGAAAAAGTATCTTCAGTACCTGCTGGCAAGGACAGGGAGAATGGAAACTGAGGAAGGATGCTGAATTCAAGGAGTGAGCAGGATAAGGACTGAGTGCTATCCACCACTGGAGACTGAAGGTGTACATAGGCACTGAGGACTTGTGGCCAGGTAGTCCCCACAGCGTAAAGTATGGAGAACAAAGAACCAAGGCCCAAGTGGGCAACTGGCTCCTCTGGCCAGCTGTCCCTGCTGACACAGGCTATACAGGCACTTTTGTTTACACTCTTTCCTTACCACACCTTCCTCCCATTTCAGGAACTCTTGCCCTTTGACTTATTGCCTGGTAGCTTTGTTTTACCTTTGTTTTTTGTCTAGCATGAGAGGCCCCAGAATTGATCCCCAGAATTCGTTCTCCCTTAAATCCAGGAGTATTTACCACAGAACTATATTTCCAGCCCATTTTATTTATTTATTTATTTTTTAAATTTTGAGACAGGTTTTCACTGAGTTCCCCAGGCTGACCCTGAACTTGTGATCCTCCTACCTCAATTTCCCAAGTCACTGGGATACAGGCATACACCACTATGCCCAGCTACTTTGCCATAATTTTGGCCTCAGCCTACCTGTTTGCCTGTACTTAGCAGTACCAGATTCCAAGAAACTTTCTGAGGCCTGGGGTGACCATACAGGTTTTACTGTCCATGGAAAACAAATCATGGGTTTCTAGGATCTCAAGAAGCATAGAGCTGAGAGTGTTTGGGGGGAAAAAAACTGATTTTTTTTTTAATGTTACTGCTAAGTTCTTGTGTGTGCTGACCTCTTCACTTAATATTTAATCTTTAATTTTTCAAAGGAGGGTTAACAAAGCACCATCTCTTCTCTCTTACTTCCAGCTCTTTCCTAGTCTGCTATTCACAGTACAAGGGCAGATAGCAGCCCTGGGTTAGTTCTCCACCCCAATGCACATGCACACACACTATCACAAACCTAGGAAAGACACTTTACAATCTTCCAGCAGAACCAATTAACACTTATCTTTGCAGTTGGTGCAGAGCTACTAGGGGAAACTAGAATTCCTTGGCATGTCTGCCCCTCAGCCCTGTCCTCAGTTGTCTTCATATCATCTTATACACTACTAAGCTATGTCCTTATAGACATTGTCCATTTTATTTTATTTTATTTTTAAAGAGAGAGGAGAGAGAGAGAGAATTTTTAATATTTTTTTTTTAGTTCTCGGCGGACACAACATCTTTGTTGGTATGTGGTGCTGAGGATCGAACCCGGGCCGCATGCATGCCAGGCGAGCACGCTACCGCTTGAGCCACATCTCCAGCCCCTAGACATTGTCCATTTTAAAAGTGAATGTTAAGGGCTGGGATTGTGGCTCAGTGGCAGAGCGCTTGCCTAGCATGCATGAAGGAACTGCACCACATAAAAATAAATAAAACAAAGGTATTCTGTTCATCTACAAAAAAATATTTTTTAAAAAAGTGAACGTAAGGCCACGCACAGTGGCACACGTCTATAATCCTAGTGGCTCTAGAGGCTGAGGCAGGAAGATCACAAGTTTGAAAACAGGCTCTAAACAATTTAGTGACATCTTGCCTCAAAATGAAAAAATAATAAAAGGGACTGGGATGGTGCTCAGTGGTTAAGTGCCTCTGGATTAAGTTAGCTGAGCCCAGTGGCCCATACCTGTAATCCTAGCATTTTAGGAGATTGAAACAGAAGAATCACATAAAGGCCAGTCTCAGCAATTTAGGGAGACCCTTTCTGAAACAAAACCAAAAAAATAGCCATATACAATAAGCACACCTATAATCCCAACAATTTGGGAGGCTGAGGCAGGAGGACCATAAGTTCAAGGCCAGCCTCAGAAATTTAGCAAGGCCCTAAGCAACTTAGCAAGACTCTGTCTTAAAAAGACTAGATATGTAGCTCAATTATAAAGCTCCTTAGGCCCCTAATTTCAATTCTCAGTAGCAAAAAATAAATAAAATATAAAGGACTGGGGATGTAGCTAAGTGGTAGAGCACCCCTGTGTTAGGTCCTGAGTACCCTGAAAAAAAACTTTTTGGAAAACAAAATATATTAACAGTTGTTATCTTGGAAGAGAGGGAGGTGGTTTCTATGTAAACACTTTTTATTGAGTAAACATTTTTTTTTTCTCACCTGGACATGTTTGGAGAATATAACCAACTTCCTGGAGCTTAGACTGTTTTAGGAGAAAGAGGACTCGACAATCCAGATGTTGCTAAGCACCTGGGAGGGACTTAGAAGCATTTCCAAGTACTGTGACTGCATTTGCTCAGGCCTGCTTATTATTTCCTTCTCTCACAGATGAACTGTCCATGGGACTAGGCCGTCTCAAGGACATAGCCCTGGGGATGCAGACAGAAATTGAGGAGCAAGATGACATTCTTGACCGACTAACAACTAAAGTGGACAAGTTAGATATCAATATAAAAACCACAGAAAAAAAAGTTCGACAACTCTAAAGATAGAGAAAGTGCTCCATTCTGTTGTGATGAAAAGATTGGAAAGATCTTGTTTTAAATTCTCAAGAAATTTCATGTATTACTTAGTATGTAATTTAATGTGTGTTTACAAATGTTATAACAGAATGGGTCTTAAGAGATTTTTGTTGAGATGAAGAAATGTGTCCTATTTTTTTTTTTTTTAGAGCCAACACCTGCCTTAAATTCTTTCAGCTAAATAACTGAGAGTTTTTAGTTTGAGCACAGTAGTCTAGCCCTGAATATCTTTGGCCTTTGATTACCATCCTCAAAGTAGAAGAAAAAGTTTCATTTCTTACTTTCATCAGTATATGGGAGGATATGGGCAAAATTTCAGTCTGGCAACCATACCCTGTGTTTCCCTATTTGTTATATTTCTCATTTCTAGGCCTTATGTAAGTCAGAGTGTAAGGGACCCTGTTCTTAGCAACTTGAGAGGCTGAGACAGGAGGATCCCAATTTCAAGGCCAGTCTCAGTAACTTAGTGAGAACCTTAGCAACTTAGTGAGACCCTGACCCTAAATAAAAAATAAGATTAAAAAACTACTGTTTATATCTCAGTGGTAAAGCACCCCTGAGTTCAATCCGAAGTATTAAAAAAAAAAAAAAGTTGAAAGAAACCCTGTGTTCATGGGGGAGGGTCCTTCCCACACCCTTATAATGGAAGTCATTGCACACACCCAATTTTGAGCACATTGTGATTAGATTCTCTCCTCCCCCTAGAAAAATATCAGTGTTAGATCCAGACATATAGTATGGCACATTCTTTGCTCTTTTGTTGACAGATGTCACCTGTTCTCTTACTGAGCTCTGTCATTGGTATACATTTCAATAGGTGGGCTTTAGACCGGCATTGCTCAAGGTGATGCCTGGAATGGGCAGGGAATTGGCCCCTACCTACTCTTACATTCTCCATCTGTGGTTGGAAACAGATTCTCCATTGGCTCAAGGACACCTTGCTGACTGACCCAAGGTGTCTGTAGAATTTATGGAAATAGAATAACATACATATGGGCTACCAGTGGTCTTATTCCACTGAGCCCTTCACCCCACTGGGGAATCACCATTGCCAAGTCCTCAGCATAGCAGAGTGTTTATTTGATGCCTGGAGTCCTCTGACTCATCCAAGACTCTCAACCACTCTTCTGTTACTTCCTGCAAGGTGACATTTGAATCATTGCGTTGGTTCTCTGTCACCCAGTTTTAGGAATAAAATTCCACAAATGATGCTGACCTTGTATAGAAGGATTTGGCTAGGAAAAAATATAAAGCTGGGTATGAGCTACATTCCCAGCTCACCCTTATCTTTTTAAAAAACAATTAAAATATTTCAAAGATGGTAAAAAGTACTGATTTTAATAGTAAGGTCAGAAACTTGAAGTAACAGTGCCTTTCCACTTAAAATGTGGCACCAGCCTGTGGATCCTGTGGCATTTCATGATGCTTTCCTTTAAAGTCTATAGTCTATAAATGAATGTCCCACAAAGCAAAGGAAGCCTCCTTAAAGTACTTGTTACAGGGCTAGGATTATAGCTCAGTGGTAGGGCACTTGCCTAGCACATATGTGGCCCTGGATTCAATTTCTGACACTACAAAAACAAACAAAAAAGTGTAACAGTGCATTAGTTTTTTTGTTTGGTTTTGGATTTTTATTTTGATGTTTTGTTGTTGTTGTTGTTTTTTTTAACAATATTGGGGATTGAACCTAGAGCCTCATGCATGTTAGGCAAACACTTTCCAACTGAGCTACATCCTCAGCCCACAACTAGCATCTATATAGCAATTTGTAAAAGTTTCATCCCTGACATTCAAACCTTCCTAAAAATAGTGGCAGCCTGGCTGGAGATGTAGCTGAGAGTTAGAGTGTTTGTCTAGCATGAGAGGCCCCAGAATTGATCCCCAGTGCTGTTGGGGAAAAAAAATGTTTTTCATTTAAAAAATGCAGACCAGCTTTTGTATATTTAATACCTCCTAATGGTTTCTGATTTTTTTTCCTCTAACACCTTCCTATCATAATGTTTCTCTTTATCACCATCAGGCACAGAGTTGTGGAGATTTTAACCATTATACCTCAGATTTAAGTATTTTTGTTGTTTTAAATAAATACACAGTGGTGCATGCCTATAATCCCAGTGACTTGGGAGACTGAGGAAGGAGGATTGCAGGTTCAAGGCCAGCAAGACCCTATTTCAAAATAAAAAGGGACTGAGGTGTGATCAGTAGAAGAGGACCTCGGAGTTCAATCCTCAGTACCACAAAAAATAAATACATATGTAAACATTCTCATCAACAGCCTTCCATTTGCATTATGGAATAAGTGATTCATCTTAGTTGAAGCAAAGTAACATTTCATGAATCTTCTCAATCTTCTCTTTTGTTAGGGTAATGAAACCAATCATTCCCCTTCCTTTTTTTGATATGGGGGATTCTACCCTTTTGCTTTATCTGTTTTCCTCACATTAGAGGGCCTGTTCCTGTTCAGAACCTCTTGTTCTAAAGGCTTTTCCTGAGGGACTGTCCCTATGCTGTTGACAGCTGGCTGCTGCTTCTTGCTAAGTCTTCACCTACTCCCTACCCCATGAAGGACTGGTTGCTGATGCTACTTATAAAGCGGAGTTGTTTGTATTTTCACAGAGAACAAAGGAAGACCTGAGGAGGCTCCAGAATCTATCTTTATGATAGATCTTTATGATTGTGATCAAAAAGAAAGAATCCTACCTTTTGGATTAGACATGCAAAGGTGCCATGGCTGGGGCTAATTATGGAGCAGACTTTGGCACCCCAGTCAATATCAATAAACTCATCTTTCTTGCCAGATGGGATCCACAAGACAGATTTTGATTTCCACAGGGGTCTTTTCCACATTGTTTAGAAAAGGAAACCTCAGTTTAACTCAAGTGGCAAGAAAAAAATATAGCAGAGATTTTCATTTTTCTTAACTTCTTTTTTGTAAATATGTAATTTTAAGTATACACTACACCAGTTTAGTAAAAATCTTCCACAAGCCTTTCTACAAAATTTTTTTAAAAATTATGAATATTGTTAAGTATCTTCAATTATGATGAATGAAATATATCATATACATGTTGATGAGCCAGTCATTGAAAATGCTTATCTTGGTATCATCTTGAGATGGGGACTTTTTTTCAGAATATGTATCAGAACAGATAGTATCCTCCATGCCTTCAACTTAACAAATGAGCATATTCCATAAAATAAAATGTGAAGCTGTTTTTTAACCAAAGTCTGTCTCCTACATAATTATTTTGAAAGAGTTGATGGAGGGGATTCTATTTGTTGCATCTTGGTACTTGAAGCCACATTTAGAAATCCTTTTACCTATAATCCTCCTGTAATCCCAGCAACCCAGGAGGCTGAGGAAGGAGAATCACAAGTTCAAGACGAGCCTGAGCAATTTAACAAGACATGAAAGAAATGAAAAGGCCTGGGGTTGTAGCTTAGTGGTTAGAGCACTTACCTAGCATGTGTGAAGCCTGGGTTCAATCCCCAATATCTCATACACACAAACACACGGGGGGGAAAAAAAAACAACTTTGATGTTATCAGCTCTTTTAATCTGTCTTCTATCCCTGGTCCCTCTGTAGCAAGACCAAGACCTAGCAAACTTCTGAGGTTTTTTTATTGTTATTTCATTTGCTAATAATCTGTTTCAGTAAGTGGTAACAACTCTCAGCCTCTTAATTTCCTGGGATTACAGCCATGTGTGCCACCATGCCCCATTCTTTTGGGGAAGGGTACTGGGAATTGAACCATTGAGCTACATCCCCAGCACTTTTTATTTTGTGACAGGGTCTTGCTAAATTGCTGGGGCTGATCTGTTGTAGTTGCACACAATAACTTTATTTTGTTTTTATGTGGTGCTGAGGATCGAACCCAGGGCCTCGAACGTGCTAAGCAAGCACTCTACCGCTGAGCCACAATCAAACCCTACATCCCCAGCCTTTTTTAAAATGTTGTTATGAGACAGGGTCTCACTAAATAACCAAAGCTGGCCTCGAACTTTCAATCTTCCTTCCTCAGCCTTTCCAGAAATTGGAATACAGGTATGTGCCACCATGTCCAGCAGACTGGGTACTTTATAAAGAATAAAGGTTTAGCCAGACATGATGGCACATGCCTGTAATCCCAACAACTCCAGTGGCTGAGGCAGGAGAATCACAAGTTTGAGGCCAGCCTCAGCAATTTAGCAAGGCCCTAGTTGCCATTAATGAGACCCTATCTCAAAAAAAAGAGCTGAGGATGTGGCTCAGTGGGTAAGCACTCCTGGGTTCAATTCCCAGTACCAAAAAAAAAAAATTTTTGATAAAGATTTATTCAGCTTATGGTTCTGGAAGCTGAGATATATGAGGATGAGAGGGACCACTACTGAAGGCCCTCTTGCTAGTGGAGATTCATGATTTAGCAACTTCTATAAAGGACCAGAGACTAAATGTTTTAGGCCCACAGGCCAAATGGTCACTGTGAAAACTGACTCTGCCATTGTACAAAAGCAGCCAAAGACAATAAATTGAGAGTGGCTATGTTCCAGGATGTGATTGGAGCTTGAGGCACGCGGGCTAGAGAGCCTGCAGAACCACGACCTGTAACATCAGAGGGTTGGATCCTCAGCACCATATAAAAATAAATAAATAAACGTATTGTGTCCATCTACAACTAAAATTTTTTTTAAAAAATGGCCTCCAATAAAACTACATTGCAAAATATGGGAACAAAACAGAAATGAAAAGAGTAAAAAAGTTGAAGAGGCAGAGCCTAAAGAATTTATGGTAGAAAAAGTATTAGACTGATGTAAAGGTGGAATATTTCCTGAAGTGAAAGGGATTTATAGTTGCTGACAATACTTGAAAACCTGAAGAAAATTTAGATTGCCAGAGTTAATTGAAGCATTTCTTAATTCTCAAAAAACTGGTAAAGAAAAAGATGGTACCAAAAGGAAATCTTTATCTGACAGTGAATCTGATGATAGCAAGTTAAAGAAGAAAAGAAATGCCACTGACAACCAAGAGGCTTTGCCAGAGGTTTTGATCCTGAATAAATAATTGGTGCCACAAATAGCAATTGATGTTTCTCATGAAATAGAAAGATTCGGATGAGGCAGACTTGGTGCTGCAAAGAAGCAAATATGAAGTGTCCTCAAATTATAATTGCTTTTTATGAAGAGAGACTAACTTGACATTCTTGTCCAGAACATGAAGCCCAATAACTGTTTGCATTGTTTTATATATATGTGTGTGTGTGTGTGTGTATGTGTATGTGTGTATACACACATAAATATATAAAACTGGGCCTTGATTTTTTATTTACTAGCATTAAAAAATACATTCTAAAGAAAATCAAATTTGAGATGTTGATTTTGAAAGTAGTATTGGGAAATTGTTGTGTTTTATTTTTTTGTTTTCCATCAGTAGCACTGTTACTTTGAACGTATAAAAGCTTTCTGTAGTTGCTTCCTTTATCAAAGAAAACGATTTGATATGATGGTATATTTCTCTGCTTTTCTAAAAGTTGAAGAAATTTTCCATAGGCATTACTCATAACTTGTTTTTAATTCATGTGCCTAAGAACCATTCTGGGGGTTTTGTTGATTTGTTTGTGCATGCATGTGTGCGTATGTACATAAAATACTTACATAATGTTTTTTTTTGTTTTTTAAACTTTTACCAAAACAAAAACAATGGGTAGTAAATCCATGTTCCTGAGATGCCATCATTCTCTGCAACCTAAGAAATAAATCACTACACGTTAAGATGAAATTTTCCTGAAACCATAACCCTTAAGATTAAATAAATGATTCTGTAGTTAATTGGACAGTTTAAATTGGATAGTTAAAAGCAACCACATTAAATTTACATCATCATCACATAAACACAACAGTTTTATTTGCAAAATTCCTGAAAGGAAAAATACTATCACTATCAACAACTTTTACACCCAGACAAGTAAACTAGACAAATCTTAGTTTGTCTTAATTAGCAAGACTTAAGTGGACATGTTAAGGGTTCCTCTAGTTAGCCATTCCTTTTTTAAGAGTTTAGAAATCTGTGTACTCATAATTCATGGAATGTCTTAAGATTTGGCTCATTGAAAACTGATCAAATGGCTGGAGATGTTGGCAGTTGACAACCTGATCACATAAATGAGTGAGGAAGTTTTTTATAGTCTAAATTATTGACCTGTTTATTCCTTACATGTAGGTTCAGTCTTTTCAGTATTTGGATTACTGGTTCAACACAAGCCAGGAAAGTAGCTTTGTAGTAATCAGAATGTTACCCAACTCTATATTGTTTATTGTAAATACTGGTGAACATTATATTCCTTTAATAGTAATAAATAAATAAAATACAAAATAGAGTTGGGGATCTGGCTCAGTGGTCAAGTGCCCCTGAGTTCAATTCCTGGTCCCCCCCCCACCACCAAAAAAATGGAATAAATAAAAATTTTAAAAATTAAAATCACCTTTACATTAATGAAGAGGAAAATCCATGAATAGGCTAAAGAAGACTTTGGAAGCAGTCCAGGTAAAAATCAGTACAGTGGCACATGGCTATAGTCCTAGCTACTCAAGAGGCTGAGTAGCTAGGACTCACAAGTTGGAAGCCAGCCCAGGCAACATACCAAGAGCTGTCTCAAAAACGGAAAGGAATTGTCCAGATAAGGATTGAAAGAAGGCCCAAAACTAGAGTGGCTACAAGACTGGAAGACGGGTAGGTGGGTTCCAGGCTTTAATGATTGATTTGCCAATGAGGGATAATGAGGCAGGTTTGGAAGATAGTAATTCAGGTTTCTGCTCAAAGAATTACTATCAAGCCATGCTTATTTTACTAAAGAAGTGGAACAAAAACATGAGCAACTTTGGGATTAGGGGCAGAGGAAAATGAGGGATTAAATATTGGACATATTGGGCTGGGGATGTGGCTCAAGCGGTAGCGCGCTCACCTGGCATGCGTGCGACCCGGGTTCAATCCTCAGCACCACATACAAATAAAGATGTTGTGTCCGCCGAGAAAATATTAAAAATTCTCTCTCTCTCTTTAAAAATAAATAAATAAATAAATAAATAAATATTGGACATGTTGAGTTTGAAGACCTTTGGGAAATCCAGATGGATACCAAGTGCTGAGTCGATGATTACACAAAACAGGCCCAAATGGAACTTAAACACCGTCATGGGAGAGAAGACAATGAAACAAGCAAGAAAATTAATAGAATGATAAAATTGACCAAGTAGTTCTGGGGCTTGAAAAAGATGTAGCAGGGCTGGGGTTGTAGCTCAGTGGTAGAACACTTGCCTAGCATGTGTGAGGCACTGGGTTCCATCCTCAGCACCACATAAAAATAAAGTATTGTGTCCATCTACAACTAAAAAATATTTTTTAAAAATTAAGAAAAAGATGTGGCAAGGACTTGGGAATTGTCAGAACCTGGGTGGTCAGTTAGCACATATGTGAAAGATACTGACTGGGAGCATGAGAAAAGAGCTAAGACAAGAGTCCTGGACATACATAATGTGGAGAACAGGCTATTGTTCCATGAAGAATAGAACAGTAGTTTTCAGGTTGTACCTAACCCTGAGTTACTCCATTTTATAAGACAGTAGTTTTCTGTGAGTTACTCCATTTGAGTGTAAGTACTGAGATAGAAATGATTCTGAACCTTGTCTGTACAAGTAACTACTATCTGCTTAGCACAACCATATGGCACAAATTGATATATAATGTATTGTGCTAATAAAAATGACAATCTATAAACTTATCAAATAAAATCAGAAGCACATGGATGCATGAGAGTATCAAATTCATATCAGAAAAAGTAGGCCCACAAATTTGTCAAATATACCAGATTACTGAATAAAGCAACCTCCTCACCCCAGACCCATGAAAAGAACAGCACCCCAAGAGTGGACACAACCTCTCCCGACCCCATCACCTGGTCATTTGTCATGAGCCTTGCCCAGGAAAATCACCAAAGGGATGAACCTCTCATTCCATCCCCTAGCTTTAGCTCAACCAAATTTTCCTGCCCTTGACAACACATAGCCTATTCCAAAATGACACTCTGAAACTGCAGTCTGTCTGGACCCTCTACTGGAACTGGTTCATTAAAAACTTTTATCTTGTAAGAGTGGTACAATCCTGTAATCCAGTGACTCACAAAGCTGAAGCAGGAGAATCGCAAGTTCAAAGCCCACCTTAGCAATTTAGTGAAACCCTGTCTCAAAACAAAAAGGGCTGTGGGTGTTGTCAGTGGTTAAACACCCCTGGGTTCAATCCCCAGTTTAAAAAAAAAAAAAAAGCTTGTCTAAACCAGACATAGTGGTGCATGCCTGTAATCTCAGTGACTTGAGAGACTGAGGCAGGAGAATCACAAGTTTGAGGCCAACCTGGGCAAATTAGTGACTGTTTTAGTTTTTGCACTGCTGTGACCAAAAGGTCTGACAACAATTAGAGGATATAGTTCATAGATGGCCAACTCCATTCCTCAGGGCCTGAGTTAAGGCAGAACATTATGGTGGAAGTATATGGCTGAGGAAAGCAGCTGTGCTCATAGTACCAGGAAGCAGAGTAAGAGACTCCCCTTACCACAGATAAAACATATTCCCCAAAGGCACTCTCCCAGTGATCCACCTCCTCCGGCCACACTCTACCTGTTTACAACCCAGTTAATCCCTATCAGCAGATTAATGCATTGATTGTATTAACGCTTTCATAACCCAACCATTTCACATCTAACCCCTTTTGTATTGTCTCACACATGAGCGGGGGGTGGGGGACAGATATATCTAAACCATAACAGTAACCCTGTCTCAAAAATAAGAAAGGGGGCTGCAGTTGTAGCTTGGTGGTAGAGCACTTGCCTAGCATATGTGAGGCATTTCTTTCAATCCTCAGCACCACATAAAAAAAAAATAAAACAAAGGTATTGTGTTCATCTAAACTAAAAAAAATTTTTTTAAGAGAGAGCGAGAGAGAGAGAATTTTAATATTTATTTTTTAATCATCGGCGGACACAACATCTTTGTTTTGTATGTGAAGCTAAGGATCGAACCCAGGCCTCATGCATGCCAGGTGAGCGTGCTACCACTTGAGCCACATCCCCAGCCCCTAAACTAAAAATTTTTTAATGAAAAACTTAAATTAAAAAAAAAAATAGAGCTGTGGGTTCAATCTCCATTACTGCCAAAAGAAGAAGGAGAGAAAGAAGACCAATCAATTATAGCCTACTCAAGACTGAATCACCAGTCCAGGCCTATCCTAATGACCTCACTTTTCAGTTGATTACCTCTGTAAAGACCCTAACTCCAATTAAGGTTATATTCTGAAGTACTGGGATTAAAACATCAACATATTAATTGGGCATGGGGAACATGATTCAGAGATACTGATAAGTTTATAGCTGGAAGGAACTGCCATCTGATGGCCTTTTCTTTCTTTGTAAGGGTGCAATTGGTAAGAAGTGGTAGAGGTATAGTCAACAAGGAATAGACTATTTCAGACCCAACCAAGACAAGGGACTCAGGAACACAGGTAATGAATACAATTCATAGATTTATAAAAATAGAGTAATGGAGTTTGTAGTCACTACTGTGTATTGTGGTCACTACACTATTCTAGCAGTCAGTGTCATGGCTGCTTGGAAGCAAGTAGGAGCGGTCTCACAGCATAAATGGAGTTCAAGAGCAGGCCTCCTGTCCCTACACCAGCTAGCAAAGGCAAGGAAGCAAAGTGAGAAGTCAGAGCTCCGGCCTAAGCCCTAGGGCAAGGATCTGGTTTCTTAACTAGAGTCAGAGGGCAAAAGTCGACTTGACAGAACTGGAGCTCAGATCAGAGAGTAATTATTAAAAGCAAAATTGAATTAACATTTCATCTTTGCACTTTAGGGCAAGGATATTTTCCCAGAAGAATGTCCCAAACCAAGGACCTGAACAGACACTTCTCAGAGGAGGACATACAATCAATCAACAAATACATGAAAAAATGTTCACCATCTCTAGCAGTCAGAGAAATGCAAATCAAAACCACCCTAAGATACCATCTCACTCCAGTAAGATTGGCAGCCATTATGAAGTCAAACAACAAGTGCTGGAGAGGATGTGGGGAAAAGGGTACACTTGTACATTGCTGGTGGGACTGCAAATTGGTGCGGCCAATTTGGAAGGCAGTATAGAGATTTCTTGGAAAGCTGGGAATGGAACCACCATTTGACCCAGCTATTCCCCTTCTCGGTCTATTCCCTAAAGACCTAAAAAGAGCATACTACAGGGACACCTCTACATGGATGTTCATAGCAGCACAATTCACAATAGCAAGACTGTGGAACTAACGTAGATGCCCTTCAATAGATGAATGGATAAAAAAAATGTGGCATTTATACATAATGGAGTATTACTCTGCATTAAAAAATGACAAAATCATAGAATTTGCAGGGAAATGGATGGCATTAGAGCAGATTATGCTAAGTGAAGCTAGCCAATCCCTAAAAAACAAATGCCAAATGTCTTCTTTGATATAAGGCGAGTAACTAAGAACAGAGTAGGGACGAAGAGCATGAGAAGAAGATTAACATTAAACAGGGATGAGAAGTGGAAAGGAAAGGGAGAGAGAAGGGAAATTGCATGGAAATGGAAGGAGACCCTCATTGTTATACAAAATTACATATAAGAGGTTGTGAGGGGAATGGGGAAAAAAAAGGGGGAGAAATGAATTACAGTAGAGGGGGTAGAGAGAGAAGAGGGGAGGGGAGGGGAGGGGGGATAATAGAGGATAGGAAAGGCAGCAGAATACAACAGACACTAGTATGGCAATATGTAAATCAATGGATGTGTAACCCATGTGATTCTGTAATCTGTATACGGGGTAAAAATGGGAGTTCATAACCCACTTGAATCAAAGTGTGAAATATGATATATCGAGAACTATGTAATGTTTTGAACAACCAACAATAAAAATTAAAAAAAAAAAAGAATGTCCCAAAGTTTAGTCAGGACTTGACTTGAAATTAGGCGAAGAATGAAGTAATTCATTATATATGTGAGAGAAATTGCTCACCCTGCAGAGGTGGCATTTAAAGGGATATAGCACACACTGAGGTCAGATGCAAACTTTTGAACCAAGAGCACCTCTGAGTCCCTTAGAAATTAAATCAAAACCAATCTCTACTGTGTGTTGTTTTTTGAAATATCCCCCCACCACCACCAAATGTATAGACAGAGGTTTATCTAGGAAGTAGATACACATTCAAATGTGAACAAGGGGGGGGCAGTCTCAAAAGAGAGATGCCTTAGGGGTAAAGCAAGGAATGTGCACTCAAAGGCAGAATGCAGGCTATCTCCAGAGGGAGAGACAGCAACCTATTGGTTTGATGGGCTTTGTTAAAGTTTTCTCTTTTTTTGGTAACAGGGATTGAATGCAGGGGTGATTTACTCACTAAGCCACATCCCCAGCCCATTTTTATTTTTTAATTCTAGACAGGGTCTCACTAAATTGCTTAGGGCCTCACTAAATTGCTGAGGCTGGTTTTGAACTTGGAATCTTTCTGTCTCAGCCTCCCAAATCGCCGAGATTACAGGTATGTGTCACCATGCCCTGCTTTTTTTTTTTTGTTTGTTTGTTTTGTTTTGTTTTGTTTTTGTACTAAGGATTGAACCCAGGGATGCTCTACATTGAACTACATCACCAGCCCCCTTTTTATTTTTTATTTCAAAAACGAGTCCAAGTTGTTGGAAATATGGTGTTATGGTTTGGATGTAAGTTGTCCCCCAAAAGCTCATGTGTAAGACAATGCAAAAAAGTTCACAGAAGTGATTGGATTGTGAGAGTCTTAATCTCCTGATGGGATTAATGAGTGGTAACAGGAAGTGGGTGGGGTGAGGTTGGAGGAGGTGGAGCATTGAGAACATGGGTTTGGGATATGTATTTGTATCTGGCAAATGAAATTCTCTCTCTGCTTTCTCATCCTAATGTGGGCTGCCTCCCTTTTCCACACTTTTGCCCTGTGATGTTCTGCCTAACTTAGAGCCCCAAGGAATGGACTAAGACCTCTGAAACCAGGAGCCCTCAAATAAACTTCCTCCTGTACAATTGTTCTGGTCAGATCTTTTAGTCACAGCAGTGAAAAAGCTAACTAAAATAACTGGGGTGCCACAAGAAATAAAATTTAATGAGAAGTGGCTCATCAAGTTGGTTGCGGTGGCACATGCCTGTAATCCCAGCAGCTCTAGAAGCTGAAGCAAGAGGATAGTGAGTTCAGAGCCATCCTTGGCAAAAGCGAGGCACTAAGCAACTCAGTGAGTTCCTGTCACATTTAAATAAAATACAAAATAGGGCTGGGGATGTGGCTCAGGGCCCAAGTGCTATGCGACCACTCTACCCCTGAGCCACAACCTCAGCCCCAAATCCTCTTTCTTCTATTGGTTATTGTGACTAGTAATGATGCCTTGCATGACTGCAGCCCTCTCACTATTAGCCAGAGAATAAAAATACAATCTGAAGGAAGTTAGAAACAGGAAAAATCACATTAGAAGCAGCCCCAGGGCCTGGACATCCTGCATTCTGAGCAACCCTGCTACAGCTATCATGTTATGGGAAATAAGTGACCTTACTTGCTTCATCTTTTTCAAACTGGGGTTTCTAATATTCCAATACAAAACTATGTTAGTATACTTTGGCTGGTGACGATAACTATATCATGAATGCATGTTCAGTGAACTTCTGTTAAGATAACATTGAGTTGCTCTAGAGTTGCAGGTATAGACTGATCTAATTTCCTAATTCCCAGGAGGGTTAGACCCTGACCTCAGTCATGTTTACTTTTTTTGTGGGGGGAGGGAGGGGGTACTGGGGAATTGAACCCAGGTACACTTATCACTACACTGCATTCCCAAACCCTTTTATTGTTTTTTTTTTTTTTGAAACAGGATTTCTCTAAGTTTCTTAGGGATTTTTTTTTTACTCTTTTTAAAAGTAATTAATTAATGTATTTGTTCTAATTTGTTATACATGACAGCAGAATACATTTCTGTTCATAGTACACAAATGGAGCACAATTTTTCCACTTCTCTGGTTGTGTACAAAGTAGAGTCACACCATTTGTGTCTTTTTTTTTTTTTTTTTTTGGTGGTACTGGGGATTGAACCCAGGTCCTGTGCATGCAAGGCAAGCACTCTACCAATTGAGCTATATCCCCAGCCTTCCTTTTGTGTCTTTATACATGTACCTAGGGTAATGATGCTCATCTCATTCCACCATCTTTCCTACTCTCATTCACCCTTCCTTTCACTCCTTCACCTTTGCCCTATCCAGAGTTCCTCCATTCCTCCCATCCTCCCCTCCAACCCCCCTTATGAATCAGCATTCATTTATCAAAGAAAACATTCAGCCTTTGGTTTTGGGGGATTGACTTTTAGCATGATATTCTCCAAATTCATCCATTTACCTGCAAATGTCATGATTTTATTCTCTTTTAATGCTAAGTAATATTCCATTGTGTGTACATGACACAGTCTCTCTCTCTCTCTCTCTCTCTCTCTCT